TCACAGAGATCCACCTGGCTCTGCCTCCCGAGTGCTGGGATTAAAGGCGTGCGCCACCACCGCCCGGCCTGCATCTAAAATTTTAATTCAACATATCATTAACAGAAAACTATTCATTAGACTTTTTTCTAATCAATTTTTTTGATCTTTTGAGATAACATCTCACCTTTATCCATGCTGGCCTATAACTAATTGTGTAGCCCAAGATGGCTTAGAACTCATGATGATCCTCCTGTCTCAGCCTTCTAAGTACTCAGATTACATACATAAGCCATCATGACTGACCTCCTTAGAAATGTTATGGTTTAGGACTGGGAAGATGGCTCAGTGGTTAAGAGCACATACTGCTCCTCTAGAGGACTTGAGTTTGGATCCGAGCAACCACATGTGGCAACTCAGAGCCACTTGTACCCAGCTCCAGGGGGATCCAACATCTTTGTTCTCCAGGGGCACCTGCATTCATATGAATAGATCCACATTCAGACATACACACACACACACACACACACACCTTTAAAAATAACCAAATTTTTTTTTTTTTAAATTTACATTCCATGGTTTTTACTCTAAGTCTTGGGCCTCTGCGGTGTATTTTGCAATCATAGGACATCTAGTTTGAATGCTCATCTTTTATTAGCTATACTTGATCAGAATTTGAGCTTCATAGACTGTATAGTTGGAAAAAAATAGATTGATATGTGCACGTTGTCCCAAACATACTGAAGCCTCTGAAGATTGCATCAAGTATCAACAGCCCAGGGCCATCTCTTGGACAGGTTACCCTTCACATCCCTCCTGGCGCAGCAGGGCTGGCACAGAGAATGACCCCTGACTGGGCTAGCATACCTGCCATGCTCCTTCCTACAGGTCTCTAGAGAGAGATGCAGCGGTCAGGCAGGTGGTGGTGAGACTGCACACCCATTTGGTCCCTCAGAGCTGACAGAGCCCCAGGCTCAGTCTGGTACTTCCCTGGGGTTTCAGGCTCTGAAACAGAAAGATGAGCTCTTTGGCTCTCTTCATGGAAAGGTGGTTAAAATGTAGTCAGAGAAGCCCCCAGCAGACTGATGTATACTTGATCCTTGTGCTTCCAGTCAGTGGCAGGCTTCTATAGTCCTGCTACTATAGCAGCCCTCTTCCAAAATTCCTACAGTGATGACAATGTGGGTCAAAGCATCTATGTGGTACCTTGCTCTAATAAGGGCGTCCTCAGCAGTTCCTAGGTTTGGCAGCTCCTTTCCCATCTACAGAATATTCTCGATATCTGCACGCACACCTCGATACCCCCCTGACGGAATATAACATTGACACGGATCTACCAGGCAGCTTCAAGGACCACTGGGCGAAGAACCTGCCTTTTCTCATAGATGGCTACGAAGAGCAGCCAGGCCTGCAGCCTCACATCAAGTAAGTGTTGGGCGGTGTGGCTTCTCAAAGCCCAAACTGGGAGCTCACCCCCCCCCCCATTTATTTAAAGGGATTGAGTCTCAGTGTGTGTTCATTCCAGGCTGGCTTCAAACTCATGATCCCACTGCTTCAGCTGCCTGAGTGCTGCTATTTCTTGATCAGTAAATGACTTCTTGCAGTTTATATGCCACCAGCTATTTCTCTTAGTTTATAAGGTACCTTGAAACTTGCTTACAGATGTTGCTTCTCCTGCTAGCCTGACCTTTCTATACTCATTTTGTGCAGCCTTTGCATGTCAGATACATGGAGGCTCACAGGCAATCTTTAGTAAGCAATGCTTGCTTGTTGCCTAGAAAACAAATTGTTTAGCAGTTTGAAAGTTTCGCCAGGCGTGGTGGTGCACAGTTATAATCCCAGCACTAGGGAGGTGGAGGCGGGGAGCTTAGGAGTTCAGGGCCAGCCAAGGAACATAGGTGAAAAATCACACTCCTGGGCAGCTGCCGCTGTAATGGGAAAGTGCAGATGTATTTAAGGGCGGGCAGGCCACAAAGCAGATCAGAGTAGAGAATAATTCCCAAACGTCCAGCAGTGCCTTAAAATTGAAAGATCGCTACATTTTGACGTTTCTGTTCTCTTTAAAAGAAGGAGGGAGGTGAGCATTCATGAGAGAGAAACATCTGGATTGTAGCCCACCAGCCCTGCAGTGGATTAAGGAAACCTTTTAGAAGTTAATGTGACCCCATGTTGGAGGCATTCTAGGAACTCCGCAGACACAATTGCAAACTCCTATTAGGAAAGCTATACCCATTTGGGTCCCCATAGTCTCCTAAACTAAGACCATGGGAACGACATCCAAACCTCAGGACTCTCCACACCACATGCGTGAGTCAGTGAAGGAGCAACTGGCAAGCTTGGACCTTGAGGACTTCACCTCCTGAAGTTGCTGAATACAGACAGAAAATAACTAAATAAAATGCTAACAGAAACAATGACTAAGTTGCCAACATGAACAAGAAACAAGAGACTGTCTGATGTGGCCAGGTTGGTTTTAAAATAAATGGCAGTTTTAGGGATAGAAGACATTGTCACTGAGCAATGACTTTAATAATGGGCTAAGCAGCAAGACAGGTGGCTGCGGGGAACAGCACAGCTGGAAGGAAGGGGGCAGAAGACAGGAGGAGGGGCACTGAGGGCCTGGCGGAGTAGGCACACCTGGAATCCAAGGGAAATGGATAAGCAGCGGTTTTAAAAGAATTGTGGCCAAGAGTTTTCCAAAGCTAATGAATCACATAAGTCCACAGTTGCATTTTAAAATATTGTTTTGTTTTGTTTTTGTTTTTTGAGACAGGGTTTCTCTGTGTGGTCCTGGCTGTCCTGGAACTCACTCTGTACCAGGCTGGCCTCGAACTCATAGAGATCTGCCTGCTTCTGCCTCCTGAGTGCTGGGAGTAAAGGTGTACATCACTACCACCCAGGACATTTTTTAAAATTGAATTTTATTATTTTATGTGTATGGGTGTTTGGGCTGTGTCTTAGTTAGGCTATTATTGCTGTTGTGAAACACCATGACCAAAAACAACTTGGAAAGGAAAGGTTTATTTGACTAATACTTCCACATCACTATTCATCATCGAAAGAAGTCAGGGCAGGAACTCAAGCAGGACAGGAACCTGGAGGCAGGAGCTGATGCAGAGGCCATGAGGAGTGTTACTTACTCACTTGCTCCCCTAGCTTGCTCAGCCTGCTTTCTTATAGAACCCAGGACCACCAGCCCAGGGGTGGCCTCACCCAAAATTGTCTGGGCCCTCCCTACAGTCCAGTCTTAAGTAGGTGTTTTCTCAATTGGGGCTTCCTCCTCTCAGATGACTTTAGCATGTGTCAAGTTGACATAAAAATATCCAGCACAAAGGGGAAAATAGGAAAATGGGCTGAAATCAGTTCAGATATCTGATAACTGCAATAAATGTCAATGGACTGAGAATCAGTTAAAAGTCATAGTTGAACAAGATTTGACCACTTGTTGGAAGGGGCACTACACACTGTGTATCTGGAAAAGTTTCCAGGACAAATGCTAGCAAGAGGGCCTTGGATCCCACCT